TCAAATCAGGAAAATAGGTAGAGAAAGCAAATGTTTCACTGCTTTCTGTGCTTATTATCACTCTAACATTTAATTCAAGAAACTTGATGATGATTGCAAGCATGTATTTCCTCTGGAAGCACCTGCATGTGGTGATAATACTTTCCATTTTTCTTCCCCGTGAGCTTTCTCAGAGTCCATCTTTACAGTGCAGCATCTTTTTAGGCAGGCACTTTGTAAACCAGCATCTTATGCATTATACATGAGATAACAGTCCTGATAAATAAAAAAGGGTGTTGCTGAACTAGAAAATGGAACCCTACTGGTTTGTTCATAGTCAGTTCCAAAGGTATAAATTCAGCTAATCAGCAGCTACCTGCTTTAAACAAACGTATGCCTGTTGTTCCATAACAGAACACCTGAGAGCACAGGGTCTCCTGGGTACTGGGTCAGACCTAGAGCAGGTTTGGGTCAGAATTCATCTCCTGCTTTAAGATGAAGTGGAAGAATACTGTGGCAAACACACATGGAATGATTTTCTCCACAAATAGTTGATTCTGCTGGCTAAGATTAACTTTGTCTCCTTACTGCAAGGCTTCATACCCTGCCCAAACTTCTCAACAGCATTAGCTACTGCAGCATCACTGATTTTCTTAGTCACAGAAATGTTCGGGTCACCTTGAACCTTGCTAAGATTTACTCTTTGGATTAAGCCTGTGCAGGAGATCCAGGCAGACCTGCCTATGTGTTATTTGTGGTTTGAGAAGTTTCCTGCGGTCCTGATATTTTAGGGCTACAGAATTGTTCCCCCTAGATCTCTTCTCTGTCTCTCTGTGCCAGATGTCAATCCATGACATTACTTTGCTTTTCAGACCAGTTTTACATTCAAAACCTGAATAAATTAGGTGATTTCCCCCCTTTTCACATCATCTTTGTACAAAGGTGATACAAAAATATTCATACAAAACTGGTTAGAAAGAGTTAAGAGTAAAAATTTCCTCTCTTCTTTATGAAATACTGTTATTGAATAATTTGAATTCTTAGGTGTAACTAGGTTCTATGAAGAACTAGAACAGCATGTATACAATGCTTCTCTTTGGTTTTCACTAGTGTTGCCATTATAATAAAAGAAACTAGAAAAAAAAAGAAATACAGGCCTAATGTCTTAAGTTTTCATTCTGAATTTGACATTTTCACTGACTTCTCTGTGATGAGGACCCTATTTACTAAAATAATTATTTTCAAAGCTTTCTTAGGCAGCTCCTCCCCAGGTAAATGTGGGGGGGAGGTTTAAAGCTATATGACTTAAACATTTTGAATGGACATAACCTTGCAGGTCTGTGAGCAATCTTTCAGACTGCAATTTTAAATATCTATCTTCTCAACCACAAAATTGGGATGATGCTGTCTGACAATTTATGAAAACTCTTTCCAAATTTTAAAATTATCGTTTTTGTTTTGTTTTATTGGAGAGCTCACCAAGCTAAGCTGCTTGTTCTGATTCCTGTGCTACCTCCCAAGTTGTGCCAGTCTGACTGCTTGCATCACTGGGGAAAAAATAAAGTCTAGGATTGATTTCAGTTTGAAATATCCTTTTTTCCCCCCGATGCTGCTGAAAAAAGCATTTGTCAAGCCCCAGCCTAAGGGATTTCTATTGGCATGGTAAGAAAGGCAAGACTTAGTGTGCCTGTGCAGGCCAGCAAGCAGAGGGGAAGGTGGTAAACGCTGCCATGGGAGGACAAGTTCTTTTAGGCACACTTTGTGCTGGAAAGGTAGACTTGGATTTATGAATTTATGAGCAATGGGGCTGCTGCAGAGCTGTTCTCCCTGTGGCCATTGACACAGAACTTGTGTGTGTTCCTTCCAAATAAACCTGATTACATGCAGTGAAATACCTGCCCCTTGTCCTCCATTCCTCCCCACACAAGGAGCAGCCTGGCACTCCCCAAACCCCAACCAGCCATTCCCAAGGGAAGGGTCCCCATCACATTCATGGGCATTTAATAATCACCCAGAAACTCAGGTTTGGGAATGGAACCTTGAGCATATTGCAGCCTTGCCAGTTCATTTGAAAGTAAAACGTGTGTACTTGACAGAGCATTGAGGTGGGATCTGCTGTTTCCCCTGGCCTAAAGAGGCCCACAGACTTTTGGCAGGGGTGCCATGAATGAGAGGATGAGAATGAAAACAGCATTACTGAACCCGTTCATTCAGATGTTTACAGTGTTTTAACAACACTGATGTAAACTGAAGCTCTACCATGAAAGACCAAGGAGGTTATTTACCAAACCCCTGCTGTGAGGATGGCATAAATATCTCAACAGTTTGCTTGTTTTAAACCACAATGAGGCAAGACCCTTACTATTGCCACCCTGCTGACTTTTAAATTCCAATAATACATAAGAGAGTTAACTCTTCATTTTTGTGTACTGTGGCAAATCCTAAATAGCAATGCAAAAAATATTTGCTATTTTAAAAGCAGCCCTGGGTTCCTAATCCTTTTTAAACATCATCTCTGTTTGGCGATCATAATTTTGTGTTATGTATCTAGTCTATAAAGTAGGTATTGCTTTATGGATTGCCAACAAATCTCGTGCTCTTAACAGCACTGCTTATGTATGCTCACTGTAATTTCTTCTTGGTGTTCATAAATAATGAATCACTGAAGCCTCTAAGCTGTTGCCCACTGTCTAAATCATCTATTTGCCAATGAAAATGAATTCTAAAATAGTTCCTTAACTTCAGAATAGCAAACATATTACAGTATAAAATAAAAAATCTTTTTGCCCAGTATTGGTGATACTAGGTCATCCATATAAAAATATAGTAGTGACAGTGGAATGCTCAATTCTGATATTTGGTTTATATTTGACAAGTATTGCAAAAAAAGTCACACCCCTGCAACACAGGATGCAGCAAGTATGCTCAGGCTGCAAACTAACAGAGACAAAAAATGATCCAGATATACATTTTCAGGATTGAGATTTTCCATCTGCCTCTGGAAATGGATTAATGTAAGAAAAATCTTTCTGTGCAAGACCAAAAGATGCAACACAATCTGATAAATGAACAATTGGACTTAATAACAAAATGGCTTTTTAGCTGACAGATGTTTCACCAGACAATTTAGTCTGAGACCAGATGGCCAAAGAGATACATGCTGGAAAGTAATTTCATAGGATGACTCCACAGAAGGAAAAACTCATCATTTGGAAGTTTGAAATGTCAAAGACTCAATTAATGGAATTAGTGAGTAATTCCCGTGCAGTTTGCCTGTTGAGAGCTGTGCTCAAGCTGGTTCTCAGAGCTCCACTGCAAGGTGGAGCAGTGAGCTCCTGGCTGGAGCTCTGACTCACAGTGGCTCGCTGCCTCTCCATCTCCCTCCCTGACAGCTGCTTTTGTCTGCAGCACCAGCCTGTGCCCCTCTCTGCTCTGCACCAAGGCACTGGTGCCTCTCCTCTGGTCCTGTGGAGTGACAGGGAGAGGTAAGGCCTAAAACACAGCTAGGAGGGGAATTTTGGGAGATGCAGGAGAGGTGAAGTTTACTGTTGCCTTACTGAAGTTGCATCTAAACTTGGACACAAGAACAACACCAGTTTTTATATCTAGCAGAAAAGGCAGTTTCCAAAGACAGAAGTATTTTTGTAAAAAATAAATTATAGTATTTTCAACTTTCAGTTCAAATTTTTTCAATCAAAACCTACATGACAGCATTATTAGTTACCACCATTACAAGTTAAAGTGTCTTTGGAATACTCTGCCTCCATCTTCTGACTGCTCAGGGAAATGCAGTGACTAGTTTGGAGTCAGACATTAACTCACAGAATGGTAGAATGGCTTGAGTCAGAAGAGATCTTAAAGACCTTTTATTCACAAAATTTTATATATTTTCAAGACCAAGGCTTTGAATATTTGGGTGAAACTTTATTGAATTCAGTCATTTCTTTTGCTAGCTAATACTGACAAATGTTGCTTTCTACTGAAAAGTCATCTTTTTTTACAGATTTCTGAGAAAGAATTCATGACTTTGCTTCGTTTTTAATATCTTTAACACAGCACTTGAATTCCTGCTTGATTAATATAGAAGGTCTTGATGACACAATGTCACTTCATATAGCCATGGCTTGTCATTGTTTTCCCACATACTTTTTCTCATTTAGCGTCTGTGACTCCTTAATTTTTCTAGGTTTGATACCTGCATTGCCAGTTAGTAAATTTGCCTTCTTTGTTTCTCTTTTAACATAAAGCTCTTCATAAATAAGCTTTGACAAAAACTAAACTGAGAGCAACAGTCATCCACCCCACTTACTCCTTGTATTTGGATTTCTGACCCATTGTTGCAACCAGATGTTGAGTGCTCTGCACCCAGCATAAATGACAACTGGTTTTTGTTAATGCAGTAAGACGGGAAAATTCATCTATGCTGTCCAATATCATATTGTACAATTCATGTGTATCCACACAGCTAGAGCAGAAAGCAAACCACTCATTTATTTGATGGCTGATAGGCAAAACAACATGAAATAATTTTTTCTAAATTTCTCAACTTCAAATGAAAAAAATATTCAAAGCAAGGCCATGCATAGAGCAGCCTTTCATCCATATTGGTATCATCTGCCATGCTCACATCTAACCCCTTCATTTCCCAGAACTGGAACAGATCTAAGGGGGCCTTCTCTGGGTCTTCAGTTCAACTCTTGCTCATGCAAGGAGGTGTGTGTGTAGAGAAGTCAGTGGAGACCTGCAGGTGACAAAAATCCACTGACATGCTGCACTCATTGACTGTTTTCCCAAGATTTCCTGAGCCAATGGTTCCCAGAGCAGTGGACCATAGGAAAAAGGCCAAATGATGTAAAATGTGAGGATGAAGATGCCACAGGGAGGTAGACTGCTCTCACTGGGTACTGTACCACACCTTGCATCACTGACACCACCACAAAATGAGGCAAAACAGAGACAGGGCAGAGCCAGCTCAAACTGCTCCTCACTATTAACTGCCCAATTCCGTGTGTCCCTGCTAGGTCTTCTGGAGGATGGCAAACTGGCTCACACAGGGGTACCTGCAGCATCAGCCACAGCTGGAATGCTGAATGCTGAGAAGAGGAGCAACTGTGGCTCTCAGTGTGCAAACCCCATGATCCACAACATGGGAGCTACAGCACAGAGACAGAATGGCTTCAGGACCACTGAGGTATGAGAATTATGGTCACTATTGCCCAGCACTAGCTTCAACCGGGTCTAAGTTACTTTTGTGACAGTTTTTCCCTTTGCAGTGAAACTGTATTCAGTGTCTTGAGGTGTGAGAAAATGGTGCCAGGCTGCACTACAGGCATGGTGTGATGGAGCTGAGCACCTCTGACAGTGCTTCATGCCTGAACAGCCACAGAATTGATGTTTTATTTGTCAATCAGTGTAACACACACTTGCTACAGTAAAAAAAAGCCCCCATGCTCATTTCTTTCCAACTCAGTCCAGCTGTGGCATGTATCATACAAACTACTTAGATTAATTATCTGAAAAGGAACATGTTTTCCCTTAATTGCTGTTCTGCTTAAAATATGTGCACTTCATGAACCCTGGTTCATTCAAAGCTGGAGATGAAGCTTGAAAAAGTCAATGGATGTCTTTTCAGTAACTTCAGTAGGCTTTGGATCAGATTCTCCCCCTTTTCCCCCTGACTTATGTGTTGTGTACATTGTGTACATTGTAAGGACAAGGTTTGGGGCTATACCAAAGTCCAGCCTTCTCCTGCCACAGCTGCCTACCCACCCACCTGCCTCCTACAGCCTTCCTTCCACTCCTGCCCTGTTTGCACAGCAGCTGCTGAGCTGCTGCAGACTAAAGAAAGCCAAAATCTATGGCTGGTTTACTGCTTCCTTGGTTTCTCATATGAGATGGTGTTAGCTAAAAATTTGGGGAAGGAAGGCTTCCTTGTTTTCTGGGTTATCTGCAGATGTAGCAGATAAAGTCCTTTACATGGCCCTTGGCATTTCTGGGGGAATCTCAATTTCTACTTTGAGAAGTGCTTGCCATGCTGCTGTTGCTGCTTCCCCTACTTTTTCAGGGGAGTCTCCTCTTGCTACAATATCATGGAATTTCACATCTGGGGAGAGGGAGACTGTAAAGGTTTGGCAATCACAGAATGTGCAGTCATGGGTGAATGTTTAAATCCCTGTGGGAATCTGTCAAAGGTACACTGCACTTCCTTCTGGGTGAGCATGAATTGAGCTTTGAGGTATTCCCAGAGTGGAATCATAAATAACATCTTTTATGTTATATTTTATGTCCAGTTTTGCCCTCTGTGAATAGGTTGCTCCCTGAATTTGCATTACAGTTCCACAAAATTTGGCACAGCAGTAGTTAAAGGGTTAATATTTGCATTCAGTCTCCTGCAGACAATGGTGGGTGGCCACTGTCCCCTCAGCTTTTTCACCTTTCTCCAAGGGATAAAATTGGTTTTCTTATCTGTACAATGCTGGCTGGAATGGCAGCCCTCTTAAGCATAATTTTTACCTTTTCTTCCAGTTTTTGCTTTATCTCCTTTTCTTTCTGCAACTGTTTGTGCAGCTGCTCAGTTTCCAAAGATAGTAACAATGCAGTTGTTTTTCTGCCCTCTATTTCCTCTCTCCAATTTTGTTTCACACTGCTGTGTTTTTTTCCTACCTAATTTCTACAATAATTGTCTTTCCCTATGCTCTGTTGAAGCGAACAGAACCTTAAAATTATCTTTCTCAGTTATAAGCTTGTTATTGGGTTTCCAATCTTTCTTTTATTCCCCTCTCAAAAGCCACTGATGACTTTAATACTCCATTTTCTGATTTCAAAGCAGCATGTTCTATATATAATATATTTGAGGGAAGGACTCTTTAATTCCCTTTTGCATGTAAGATAAGTGAGCCTCCAATACTGCATAAATAATTGCTTTGTATTTCCAGAATTTTTGGGCCCATTTCTTTCCTGCCTGGGAAGGAGCACATTCATAGTTCTGTAACTGTTTATCCATGGCAATCCTGCTGACTACACAAATTCTTCTGTCACATAAAAAATCAGAAAGGCAAACTCCCCCTTTGCTTTCTGTGTTGTCTGCAGATGTAGGGGGCCTGGGGGCCCTCCCTTCCTCACTCAGCATTATCTGCCTGTCTGAGATGCTGGGAGACCTTCACAGACAATATTTCAGAGTGAGCACTCTGGCACTCTGAGCCTGGGGAGGTGCCAGAGGCACAGAGGGGTGGCACAGTAATTCTGGCCAGGAGTGCAGTCCCTCATGCAGAACTGACATGCATTGCACTGTGAGTCTGGGCAAACTCAGTAAGACTCCACATCCACAAACAGGGCAATTTCTTGCCTCTTGGACAGAGTAAGATCCACAAACTGCTGTTGATAAATGCACTGACATCAGAATGCATAAGCAATAGTATTACTGTGGAATAAAGCTTACCTGACAGGAGTCCCCATGGGGAAGGAGAGGGTACAGCCTGTTGAGCATCCCAGGACACAAAGGAAGAGTCTCCTCTGACTTCCCTCCCCTGTTAAGTCATATTTATATTGTTCTCTTCAAGGATGGGGGAAAAAGTTTCAGTTGACATAATTTCACACTTAAATGGAGTTTGACTAACTTTATACACATGCAAAGATTGTACAGGTTTTACTTTGCTAGCATACAACATGGGGCATGAAAAGGAAGATGTATTTTCAAGTTCAAGCAAATTTCAGCTTTTGATCACCATTTGGGTCATTCCTTCAGCTTAAGTCCTGTTAGGTGTGTTGTTTTAAACAGAGAATGACTGCAACACCTCTGTGCAATTCCATCCTTTGTTTCTTGCCTCTCTCAGACATGAACAAGCTCCCCTGGTGTCTCTGCTCCTCAGGCGTGCACAGTTTGTTGAATTACTGCCAATGTGGGCACTCCTCCTTGTTGAGCTTTGTCTTTTGACATTTTTCCACAGAAAGTGCCTCAGCACAGCATGTGGCAGAACAGCTACACTCACTCCATCAGAAGCTGTCCCATCTTGAGAGTCACATCCTTAAACCAAAGGGTCTGAGCAAATGAAAAAGGGAATTTGGATTGAACGTCACCTTGCATTTATCAACACACAACACATCAGTACATGTCTATTTGTTTTATAGCTCCATTGTACTTTATCTTTTGTATTGCTATAGTGCAAAGATATTCCCAGGTGACATAAAAGATACTGCATCTTTTCATCAGATACTGCTGTATCTTTTCATGAGATACTGCACCTCCAGGTGGACAGGGGCACATTCCACAGCAGCATGACATCTAGAGCCATGGGATTTCTGTAAATGAAAAGCCCAAATGCTTGTCCTAGCCACTAGCCCACAGAGAAATCTTAATTGGTGAGGTTGGATATGGTCGAACAGAACTACACAATTATCAATCCAATTTGAAAAAGACTTGGTCACAATTCATAATTACAGTTTGCACCTGTCCTACTGTTAGAGAAAATGGTCTAATTTTGTAATTGAATGGAAAATTACTTCTGTATTGCACTTAGTAGGAAGTATGGGCAAATTCCCACAACATATTAATCATGTGAGTGTTGACTGTGATGGTACAACTCAGTGAAGTGTGGGTTCCTGCCCTGAGGCCCTATGACTTTGAAGATACCCTCCTGCATTTTCTAGCTGAGATACATTCAGTAACACGTATCTCTGCTGTTGCAGCTCAGTGCAAAACAATTTCTGATAACTAAAGCATTTACATTATTCTCCACATCCAATGCAGGTACATAATAAGTTGTTTAAACTTCTTATAATAAAGAAAGAAATATATATGCCTAGAGAGAAAATGTATCTAATTTAGGCTCCAGCTCTGGTCTGCCATTGTGCATCTCTGTTTTTCCACTTTTAGGGAACCATAAGGTGAGCATATAATGTGAACACCTTAAGTTGCCTAGATTTGAAAATCTTAAAACACATTAAGATGCCTAGAGTTGAAAAGGTGATTTTCCCCTGCAGCTCAAAATGTACCCATTTTATCTCCCTGAGCATTCAGGGAGAATTTAATAGAGTTTTCCTTTTGTCTCAAATGCTATGGAATACAGTGCAATGCAGCACATGGTGCCCTTGCAAGGCTTGGGTTATGCCATTAGCCTGTGGGCTAGCAGGGGATAAATCATGTCGCCTCTCTGTTTCTTACTTTTTCCAACATCAAGCTCTAAAGCACCATCTGCCTTATCCCTTGATACCTGGTTATGTCAGGGTACAGCTTGTGCTGTTGGAGGGGGAAAGGTTTGACACTGTCAGAGAAATTTTATTATCCTCTCGTGACTGTAATGTCAAAACAATTTAGAAGTAAAAGATGATGATGATGGTGGTAATAAAGAAAGGAGTGGTAATACCAGTGAAGGTAACAGGTTGGTCAGATATCCCTCCAAAGAAGAGGTGGTACCCAGATTATGTCCCTGACTGACAATAATCTGGTTTGATTCTCATTGTAGTCTTTGGCAAGGACTTGCATGAGCAGTAGCACAGGGGGAGCAAATGGCAAAGGTGCTGGTGTATTCAGGCTGCAGAAATGTGAAATAATACACAGCAACAAATTAACTCCAGGTGTTTCTCTGTGATATATATGAACCTTCCATTTATGTCAATGGCTGAACTTTATCAGATGTCATTTTACCTGGCACTCTTACCATGTAAATAATGCCTAATTTACCTGGTATTCCTTACACTGACAAATAGTCTCATGGAACACTGGCAATGCAATAATCAAACCCACCTAACCCAGCTATGTGTCTCTATCAGCCCACATCTGGGTACACTTTATTAGACCTATCCAGTTTCCTGTGCATTATGGTGTGTTGCTTATGGCAACGAGCAGTCTGGGAGATGGAAAAGTACAAATTTAAATTAGGGATGCACTTGCATGCCTCAGACAGACTGACTTTTTTGAATATTGAAAATAAACTGATGAATCTCTGAAAGGTATATATTGTGCTTGGATCTTTTATGCAGGCAGTGGTAATTTAAAACTATATTTTCACATCAGAAACATAAAATCAAGTACAGAAAATTCAAGCTCAGCTGATGATGCACTATTCACAGGGACATGAAAAGGAATCTCTCATTTTCACTTCTGGACTGAAACCAGATTTATTTGCTCTGCCTTTACAGTACACACATGCAGAGATGATAATTATAGGCAAGAATGTTGATCCAAAGCCTACTGACATCCACTGCCTTTGCAGCAGATAAAAGCTTGTGTCCACGCTGAATGAGACAGTTGCTCTGCACCACAGTGCTGTGAGAAGGATGCTGGAGACATTCTGTTTATTACATAGAACTGTTTTTGTAAATTAGGGGTTAATCACCAGTGACTCTTTCTGCTGTCATTGTGGAACTCACTGTACTGTTTAAAACTCTCACAGAGTAAATGGGACACACAGAAAACGTCCACACAAGAAGTCGCCATTAACGTTACAAAAGGCATCAGACAAAGTGACAGAAGAAAGACAAAGAATTGTGCCAATTAATGAAGAAAATTGCAGGTGAGGATGGACTTAACAAAGCTTCACTGCACTTTAAATGTCAGTTCACTGAAGACATGAAGATCTCCAGGTGTTCCAGGTTGAATACAGCAGACAGCTGCTACTGAGTGCCTCCAGAAGCAGGTCTTGTGGAAACCAGCTGCAAGCACCATAGACATTACAGTGTTTGTCTAAAGACAGACATAGTCATTTGTCTAAAGCAGTGGCACTGCACAGACGTACACATAAAACCCATTGTATTTGTTTTTTACTGACTTTCATGTTATCCCTTGTGTATGTCCTGTTCCACATTGCTATTAAGATGAGGCTGGATAATAAGGGGTACAGCTCATCACAATTAAAACCAGGAAATGAACAAATGAATCTGAATTTTTAGTCATAAAGTTGTTTTGAGTGTGGACATTTAAACCAAGAGTTCATTTAAAGCACTCACATATTTTAAAACACAAGCCCAGACATCTCAAGAAAGTGAGACTAAAGTCTAGTCTTCCACTAAATCTCTTTTCAATTATATATAGGTTAAATATAGTTAAGTCATACAGTAATGTTTTTATATAGTAAATGTTCAATTACTTAGTTTTAATTTATTGTTTGTATTGACATAATTTTGGTCTTAAAAATAGTAACTTTCATATTGATCAGCCTTACTTGAAGGTCCTAGTCTCAACTAGTAAGTAGAGTTGTGGCTACTTGGTTGTTTTATAAATGCCCCTTTGATTATGTTGAAGCCCAGTCTGCCTAGGAAAAAAGTTACCATTTATATTACAAGAAAATAACCACAATCTTTAAAGTCATATTCTAATGTCAGTTCAAAAAGTTAACTTTCTTTCATAAGATATAATAAATTCACTGTGCTGAACTTATTTAATACATTGTGAGCATACCGTGCCACAGTACTCTATGATTATATTAAATATATATCTAAAAAGAATATAAATGTTCAGTATAGTGAAGTCTAGGAATTAATTCAACATATTACTTCTTAATATGGAAGTAATAATATATATTCTCTGTGAGTTTGCATGTTTATGAAGATAAAAGAGGTAAATTTATTTGCCTCCTCTATCAGACATATATCCATATATCCATAATATACATCCATATATATGTGTGTATATATATATATATGGATGTATATTAGTATCCTTAAAGGGCCATTTAAAAGAACTGCTCAAAACAAGCATAAAAGAATAGAATTGTGAACTGAGCCCTACTTTATTCTGTATTAGGATCATTTTAATAGCTTGCTGCTTATGTGTGTGAGTTACTTTCCTTGTTGTACAACAAGTCTATGCAATAGGATTTGTTTATTAATTACTCCAACAAAAAGGCAAACTGGAATCCAGAGTTAGAGCCAGAATTTTGCATACCATAGCATATTCTGAAAGGATTTACTGGCAGAGAGAGTGCAGTATAAACTTATATGATACAAGAAAGCTACAGAAAGTGATTAATGATCCTGATGTGTTTAAGGATAAACAGGATTTTGAAGGAAGGCAAAAGGGAAGGTTTGTTGGGTAAGAAGCTGTTCCAGAGATTGTGGCCTTGGGTGGATACCACATTAGAGTGAGTAGATGCAAGAACAAAGGAGTCCTGGCAGTGAGAGTCTTTATTAGCTAAGAAATTATTTAGTGAGGATTGCTGAGCAGATGTGTCACACGGCTCGGGTCACACCACAGGAGGAAGCCCATGAGCTGCATGGCACATGAGGCAGCCCTGGCTCATGCCAGCAGCCATCAGGGAGGCAGCTCTTGAGCCTTCTATTCCCAGCATGAGCTGTGACAGGATGCTTTGCAGGAGATGGCCTTGGTACACAATTATCTGGGCAACAGCACAGACCTTGCTGCCCACATCTCCCATCGGGGAAGCAGCTGCGGAGTGCTGGATGCTGCCTGCCCTGGCCTGCTCATGATAATGTTCCTGAGCTACTCCAAGATCCCCTAAACCTGTTTATATCCTGAAACTTAACTTTATGACATTCAAAGATTGGATCCAACTTCTGTGGTAAAAGCCATGTTCAGTAATAAGCAATTTTATCCACACTCCCCATGTAATACATTACTGTTCTCATTCATTAGGCATTAGTAACTGAAAAGTAATTACATTCTGTCCTAGGTGGCTTCTTATTGTTTGATGTGCAAGCTTCCAATGACCTTAATAAAAATAAGAGCATGTTGTGGATATGTAGATCTTGCTTCTGTACACAGATTGGGATGTACTTATGTTTACTTTCTTTCTCCTAGAGATAACCACAAGTAGAAACAACCAATTTATAAAATAATACCCCACTCTGTATAATTAGGGTGACAGAATCTAGTCTATACTACTTTAGACAATTTAAAGTCCTCATAATAGATTCCCACATTAGTTTTAGTGGAAGAAGCAAGCCCAAAGGATCATATGGACATTTTCACTCCAGTGGCCTTCCTAGAAATGAGGAGTCTTATTTACAGGGTCTGTTCTTTGAGCATCATCTTTCAAATATAAATGGCTCAAAGACATCAAATAAAATAACCATGTTAAAAGACATGGACTTTCAGATGAAGGACCTGTGGGCATGTCTGTCTTATATGTCAGGATTTTTTAAATGTAATTTTCCCCAAAAAGGCATTATTGCCACATAATTTATTTGACATCCCTTGGCTGCCCATGAAGATTTCTACAGGCACACTGAAACAACACACTTTCTGCTGGAATGATTTGCCAACAGATGGTGAGTTCTTATGATTTATCTAAGTTCAGATTTTAAACAGAAAGGAACTTTGTCACATTTCCACAATTCTAACACAATATATACATAGGATTTTCCTATATATCTTGATAGATCTTCCTCCACTATGTGAGAAATGGAATCATTCAAAAGCAAGAGGATATTGTCTAAAGAGAGAGGATTTAGAGATAACAATTCATCATGAGGCAAATAATTGTTCTCAAAGACTCAGTACAGCTTTATCTTGCACTATTCCTTCATCTTCTCCCTTATGATTCCTTAATGTATTTCATCATTTCAGCATCACTGTAGGACACTGAAGGAAGACACACAATTTTAATGTGTGACTGAAATGATTTTGTACTGACATAAATAGGAAACTATAATTATTGTGTAAGCAATATATGAGTACTGCATTAAACATGCATTCTTGTTAGTAGAATTACTGAGATTTCATAAAAACCAGGACACAGGTAGTTTTGATCTTTCTAGTATGCTCATATACATATTTCTTTGTGCATGTCTCTGCATGTGTATTTTGTAATGTCTTTAGTGTGTGCTTCTGCACTTCAGGCACGTTTTTTTGAGAACCTTTAATTTCTGTTTGTAATTCTGATACCCAAGTGTAAAATATTTTATTGTTTGAACTGAAATTTGTTTTACATGCTTTATGAAAAGAATGAGATATATCATTTGTGCACAGAAATGGTATTTGAAAAAGCAGGCTTAGTTTTATTTACAAATACATCTAAATTCAAACTAGACTAACTGGAACATTTTTGTACTCTTTACAAATTAATGAAGATTGACCTTAAATTTGAAAATAAAATAAAGAACATTTTTAAAGTGTCTGTTTATTACTCCACTTATTTCACATTTCTGTGTTTGTGGTTGGGTTAGCTTTTAAAGCTGAGATCGAAGAGGGCAAAGGTGTAATGAATGGCACATCTGCTATTCATGGAATCAGAATATTTCTGTATCTGATGTCCTCAGGCTGTGGCTCATGGACTGCTTGGTCATATGAAAGAAAGCAAAATATATATATTCCCATAAGAAATTGGTGTATTTGCCAAAGAGGGATTATGAGATCAAAATACATTTGTACCTCTGTAATTATAAATGGGAGAGTTTGTGGTTGCTGTCATGGTTAAAGTGGAAGACAGTGGGAATCTGAGACAATTTGTCTGCTAAGATGCCATGATGCAGCTATGAGGCAACTAGAATACCTAGTTCTAAATACCTAGTACCTAAAAAAAGCTCTTATTCCTGCCTGAACTGGAGAGCACAGGATGGAAAAGTAGCTGTGGTGTTGTTTGACCTCTGCCATAGAAATAAACTCACAGCTTTTACAGATGATGCTTCTTATTTTTTCCAAAATTGCACGAAATTTTCGTTATATTTTTCCTTATTAGCAAAAAGGCAATTGCTGAAATATTCTCCCCATACTAATTGTCTGTGCCCTGGGTGTTGCCTGACAAGTTGCTTGTTCTCTTTGATTCCTGGCCAGGATGCTGACACAACAACTGGTTTGTTTCCTGTGGAAAAGGAAGAATAGTATCAAAGGAATGGCTTTGAGATGTGCCAAAAAAAGATTTAGGGACACAAGGAAGCTGTAGTCCAGCACTCAGGCGTGAAACAGCCCATGGGAACCCTACAAACAGGATGCTTCAAAATCTGGGATCAGACAATACCTTGCAAGTGGAGCCTTTGAACTCAATACACTGTTTAGTTTTGAAACATTAAACTTTCATTGTCCTCAGGCCAAGCATCCCTCATTGCACCAGTGCCTTCTCAGGTGCCTGCTTTCCAGACTGGCTCAGTGAAGCATGTGGAAAAGGTGCTAGCAAGAAATAAGTTGTACTGTAAGATGCAGGGATGCAAGATCTCATTCTGCCCTGTTACCACCCTCCAGTTTTCAAATCTTTCCTTCTGATTTTCAATTTTTTTTCAAGTAGCCTGTGCATACTATCCATAGTTAAAAGCCATTCTTCTGCTCTTTGGTAAACTAATGGCAAAGTTGGGTCATTAATATAAGATAAAAAGTGAGGTGGTCCACCAGAAATTACATTTGTTGACATATGTCACTTAATCAAGATAAAATCCAAGTTTATTTGCAACAGCTCCTTGCACAGAAAATCTTAGCAAACACTAAAATCTAGGAAATACTGAAATCCTAACGGTAGAACTGGGATGTTCATGAGCAAGAAGAAAAAAGGGAGAACATAATAGCTTTTCATTGATTTCTGGAGGACTGAATATCATTTAAGTCCTGAGTGCAAAAAGTGGGTGCTGCTGTATATCTGTCCATTCAAGACTGTATAAAACAAGTAGCTTTAGGTTGCTGTGGGCCCCTGCTTAGGAAAAAAATGGGATTGAGGGAGAAAGAAAGAGAGAAAGTGTCACAGGGCAAGACTGCTATGCTGCCAGTTGTATTAATTAGCTTTGTTTGCACACTTTTGCATTATAATTATTATTATTCAGCTTTAATTTAATTTCCATTAACCTCTGCAAAATACCCACATGTTTGGATACGGGGAAACGTGTCTGGGGTATTACTGCATGGATAGAAAAACAGATTGCTCACAGTCAAAAAGCAGCTTAAGAAAAGGCACCATAGCTAAGCAGCAGCCTATTCTTTATCAGCTATGAAGAGCTGTCAAATACAAAAGGCATGAAATTAGTCATGTTCATCTGGTTTTACCAGGAAATTAAATATTGGGGTTGTTCATGTAAGGGAGGGAGCACTTTCCAGGTCACACATGTGAGTGGCTTTATGTTCAGTTTGCCCGACTCAAGGACTGATTTGAACCTAAAACATTAGGTGTTGTGGCCTGTGCAGTTCCCTAAACCAGCCCTTCTGCAGTGCAGCAGCATTTCCTTTGCCCTCAAATTAGTTCCCTCCTAGAATATTTTTTCCACTTTATTATTTTCCTCTTTACTATTAATATGACATATTTTTGCAGCACATTATTAGACACATTATTATATTATTGAGAGCATAATTTTACCAATTCAGACATGGGTCTGAAAACTAAAGCTCATGATCACAACTGGCAAGCACAGGGACAAAATTAATTCTCATTAACTCACTGAACAGCTACAACCCCACCCAAGCAGTATCATCACCTCTGGGAACTGTTGGGATGTAGGGAGTGCAATATTAATGTACATGTATGGTGTCCTATGCAAATGAAATTCATTATTCATATTTCTGACTCAAAACCATCTTTCAGATGAACTAACATGTTTAAAACCATTGTGGAAGCCAACACTTTATATCCATTCCTGCTCTAGCTGGGATTTCATATCTGATAAGGATTTTCTGTCCCTGGTCTGTGCCTGATATCTTTTGACAATTTAGAAGAATATTTAACAAGTATAACAGAATAAAAATTGGTGTCATCACTGCTGCTCATCTGTCTGTATGCTGTCTTTTCTTACAATGTATTGATTACTTGCATCCATGATGAGAAATAATTTCTTATGCCTTTACCATATAGGTATTTTTAATTTCTGTCTAATAAGCTCTTGCTGGTATTTCATGTTACAGATGCATTTTTATCACAGGCTGAATTTATACTGCCAAATCTCTTGGTTTCAATACCAGCTCCTGGATCCTAGTCCCAGACCATCTGTGCACATGTGGCACATGTGCAAGTTCACCTCTGGAGAACACACAGGAACAAAACAACCAGTTCCCTCTGCAATAAAAGTGTGCTGCTCCAGGATATCTTCAGTTGCAAATTTATGATCTTATTAGCTCAGGATAACCTCACTTCTATCTGCTCAGTTCTTTGGACTGTTTCTCTTCAAATTCATGTGGGGTTTATCCCACACACTTGAAGAGGCAGTGCCACTCAGATATATTTCTGTGCTCTCAAGAACCTGTTGGAGATTTGTTGGAGCAGGTCCAGGTGACCACTTTTTTGACATGTATAGTATAATAAAATATGTCTTGACAGTGCTCTCAGACTGCCTGTTGTACTCTTAGAAAAGTAAGAGCACCTCCCACCTCTGCTGGGTGTTTGGGATGTCTTTGAGATCAAAAGAAATAATGACTTCCATCTTCACATGACAGACAAGTTTCAGCTTTGAGTACACCAGAGCAAGTCAGTATAAATTTTTTCTACTCTGTGATTTTCTTCCATATATCTATAATTCTGTGGCAATAGATCTATGTGATATCTTTCTCCCTCCATTAACAGACCATTTTGGTTGCATTTAGCAAAGGTAAGTTCTGATTCAAGAGACACTGATTTTCACTACTACTAAGGCCATTGCATACCCCATTGTCTACTTTGTTAGCATAAAAACTTCAAAGTGAGTATGGCTTGCACACTCTATACACTTTATATTGGCACTGTGATATAAAGTAACTTAAATGTGTGCATTTGTAATAATCAGTGCATTTGTAGTTTTTCCTACAGTTTTGCTTATACAATTTTATACAACATAAAAAACCTTTTCTATAATTTTAGACAATATTTTATAAACATTTTTTATACCAAAAAATTGCTTTTCTCTGTTCATTAGTGAGCCTCTGGTTTCATTCATTCAACATGGATTATGCTGCTGCTGTTCTCCTACAATAGTCCACAATCTAGAAGAAACCATGTTACTTCACTACAAATTCGTACGAAAGCAGAAAGCTCTAGTAATGCAGGTTTGATTTTCTTCCCTTTTTATGGCTTTCAAATTCAGATACTGGTTAAAAGCAGCATTTCAACTGACACAGCTAGAGCTCCTGAATATAAAGCAACTTTAAATTCTTCTGAATTGGTGGAGATTTGAGAACTTGTTCCTGGCATTCAACAGCTTCACTCACACAGTTCTTGTAGAGCTCAAACAAAAGCTTAGCTAAATTATTCACTTTACTCACAGAAGTGTAGAAACCTTGTATTTGCTAGTGGCTGAAGAAAAGACAGAATGCAATTGGCAGAGATGCAGAAACATGTATATCTTGCCAGAAAAGGCCCAGAGAGGAGAATGCAACAAGGGAAACATACAAATTATGAAATTAAAGGAATGTCGGTTCCTTGGATTAAATTGTTGTTCTAGTTATACCTGCATAAATCAAAGAATACATTAAATTTTTCATATTATAACAGAACTTGTTATTAACTTCTATTGAAATTGTTAGTATCTGTTTTTAGGATAAATTACTGCACAACACTTGCTTAAACAGCTTCATCTGAGTTTTCCTAAGGAAGTTGAATCAATTTGGTGCAAAATATGAGGCATATGTTCGTATAATGCAAGTGCAAAGAGGAGAATAGAAAAAAATGCTGTCTTTGTCTGTTATTTAATTTCAGTTCCTTTGCTCAAGAGCAAATAACTGCTTGAGTGGTGATGCACACAGAAGACACAGGACAATTGAATTTATGAAGGATTTATGAATCCAAGGGCCAAACTGACAAATTCTAGTAACATTATTCCAATTGAGTTTCCATCATAAATTGAATTGGGTGAGTTAAACTGATTTTTTACTTGTCTATTGATTTTGCTCTATTGACATTTTGAAAGGGTCCCAGGATGTGTATTACAAAACCTTTGCTATGGAATATCTTTCTATTTCTGACCTCTGTAAACAGGTTTGTCATCTCTGGATGTCCATGCTCCTCTTTACACGGATAGGTTGGCCTATTCTCTTAAGTGTTGTCAGTATCCTTAGGTCTGGAGTGGCTCCCAGCCATGATCAACCTTTCCATCTTGCTGCTCAGCAGACCTATGGCCTCTGCTACCACACTGGGATTGTTCTGCCTTTCTTCGCTCTCCACCATGAAAATATCAGCTCTAGAGAACGATACCACTCTGAAATTAGACCAGACATAGAACATAGTTCCAAACTTACCCCTAA